CCCCAAAACCCCAAAACCCCAAAACCCCATGATGTATTTATAGAAGTATTTATTAGATTTTTAAAAGAGAAATAAAATACTATTTATTTATACTATTTTAAAAAGATAATCAAGATATGAGTGTCAGAGTAGCAGTTAGAGTGAGACCTTTTAATTAAAGAGAAATCTCCAATAATGCTGAGCTATGCATAAAAATGGTAAAACCTTCTTAAATTCAAACTTTTCATCGATCTATTTTTCCAATTATTTATCATTTGTATTAGAATGGCCCTACAACAACAATTATTGATGATGATGGTCATCCAAAAGATTTTGCATTTGACTATAGTTTCTGGTCACATGACGGTTTTAAAAACAGAGAAGATGGATATTCAGAAGCTGAAGATAACAAATACATTGATCAAAGAGCAGTATATAATGAAGTAAGAATATATCAATCAAATACAGATATCATAATAATCTATTTTTAGCTGGGAAAAAGTGTTTTAGACAATGCCTGGGATGGTTATCATTGTTGTCTATTTGCTTATGGACAAACTGGTAGTGGAAAGTCATATTCTATGATTGGATATGGAGCAAACAAGGGTATTGTACCAATGGCTTGCGAGGAAATTTTCCAAAGAATACAGGGTAATACTGATGCAGACAAGGCTTATGAAGTCACAGTTTCTATGGTTGAAATTTATAACGAAAAAGTGCAAGATCTATTGATCAACCCATCTAAAAGACCTTAGCAAGGTTTGAAAATAAGAGAGCATTCAACAGTTGGAGTTTATGTGGAAGGACTGTCAAAGCATCCAGTATCATCGTACAGAGCAATTGAAGCAAAGATGGATGAAGGAAGTAAGAATAGGACTATCGGTTCAACTTAGATGAATGCTACAAGTTCAAGAGCTCATACTGTGATTGCTATAGAATTCAAATAAATTGTCACATTTTAAGGAAAGAAAAGTGAGAAGTTTTCAGTTATAAACCTAGTCGATTTAGCTGGGTCAGAGAAAGCTGATCAGACTGGAGCCACTGGAGATAGATTGAAAGAGGGTTGTGCTATTAATAAAAGTCTCACATGCCTAGGTTAAGTCATTAGTGTACTAGCTGATAAGGCTATGGGAAAGGGTGGGAAGCTCGTTGTACCTTACAGAGACAGTGCTTTAACAAGAATGCTACAAAATGCTTTAGGAGGAAACAGTAAGACAATTATGATTTGCGCCTTATCACCAGCTAATATAAACTATGAAGAAACTATGAGTACTTTAAGATACGCTGATAGAGCTAAGAAAATCCAGAATAAAGCAATAGTAAATGAAAGTCCTTAAGATAAACTCATTAGGGAACTCAAAGAGGAGAATGAAAGGCTAAAGGCAGAACTTGCTAAAGGTGGTGGAGGTGGTCATAGTGGATCTGCCTTAATGGATGAGGAAGCTAAGCAAAAGCTCTAGGAAATGGAAGAGCAAATGAGAGCTAACTAAGAAGCAATGAAAGAAATGGAAAAATCTTGGGAATAAAAACTCTAAGAGGCAAAATAAAGAGAGGAGGAAGACGCTAAATTAAAGTAAAAAGCTGAGCAAGTCAAGTTTAGACCTCATATTGTAAATCTGAATGAAGACCCACTTCTTGATAGAAAAATTCTTTATGATCTTACCCAATCTGATTAAATTCACATTGGTCGTAAGAATGGTAACCCAGCACCACAAGTTGTTCTTGGTGGTATTGGTATCCAAGCTAATCATGCATTTTTTGAAGTTGGGTCTGATGGATAGTACTATTTAAAACCTTCATCAGCCTCAAGTGTTGACCAGATCTCTGTTAATGGTAAAAAATTGACATCAATGGATGGAATTATGTTAACTCCAAATGATAGAATCGTGTTTGGTACTCATTCAGTATTCTTGTTTAAGGATCCAGACAATGAAGCATCATCTTCTCAAGAAGACTCAGAAGATAATCCAATTACTTGGGAATCAGCCTAATCTGAGAAAGCAGAATTGGAAGATTAAAACATGAAGAAACAATAAGAAGAATAAGCAAAAAGACAAGAAGAAGAGACTAAGTAAAAGATGATGGAGCTTGAAAATAGAATGGCAGAGGAAAAGAAAAAGTAAGAAGAAATGAGAATTCAAATGCAAAAGGAATATGAAGAAAAACTAAAGCAGCTTCAGTAAAATAATGAAGAAGAGGAGGGGAAGAAGCTTGAGTAAAAAATGAAAGAGGAAATGGAAAAAATGAAAAAGTAAGAAGAGCTTAGATTAAAACAACGTGAAGCTGAGGAGAAAAAAATCTAAAGAAAGTAACAAGAATAAAGTGACTTGGAAAAAAGACTGGGATAGATACTGCCTCTAGTAAATGAAGCTAATCTTATAGCTAAAGAACTCAAGAGAGAAATAATTTTCAATGCTAAGTTGATAAAATCTATTCCAGAAACTAGAGAGGATGGTACTTCAGATCTTGGAACTACAGATATTGTTATCAAAACTGAAAATTTCGAGGAAGGTTACTACTATTAATGGCCGGAAGACAAATTTAATGATAGAATTTTCATGATGAGAGATCTAGTAAATGAGTATTTTGAAAGTGGAACTCTTCCAAAACTAACACATGACACTGATCCATTTTGGGATCCTCCAGAACCAATGCTTATCGGGTAGAGCTTTATTTCTATGAAAAATCTTGGGTACCTTATAGAAAATGAAATGGAATCTAAGATTCTTTCAAGTGAAGGTAATTCAGGTGTTAGGGGTTAATTAAGTGTTAAATATTTCCCAACAGATGAAGCTGGATAAGGTGAACCAAATGAAGATGACCTTCCTGAAGAACCTGAAGACTTACTTGGTAAGCCAGTAACATTCAGAGTAGAAATTGAGAAGGCGAAAGATTTACCAGTAGAATTAAGCAAAAATACTTTTGTTAATTACAAATTTGGTTTCGAGGGAAATAAGATAAATTAGACCTAAGAAAACAATGGCAAAGAAAGAAATCCAGTTTTTAATTTCAAAAAAGTTCATCACATAGAGAAGGTTACTCCTTCAATCTTAGCTTATCTCTAAAATGGCTAGGTAAACTTATTAATCAATTTAAATTTTTTAGTTATGCTTCAGAGTTTACGGTTATCCAGACTATGATTAAGCCCGTAAAATGCAAAAGAAGGAGCTTGAAGAATCTAAAAAAGAAGTTACTTAAAAAGAAGATTTAAAGAGAAAAGCAACAGTCAAACTTGAGAGTAAAATTAATTTAATATATTTTGCATTTAGATGAAGCTAAGCATACTGGCAGAGAAGAAAGCAAAGCTATTCATTAATAACATTAACAACAAAAAGCTAAAGAAGAGGTTAAATCTACTCATGAGCCTAAGAAGGAAGCTGATCATAATTAAAATACAGATTAACAGAAAAAGGAAGAATCAAAGGTTCCTGAGAAGACAGAGACAAAAGTTTCAGAAAAGAAAGATATAAAGACAGCTGATAAAGTCTTAGTTGATGGAGAAGTTGGAAAGACAGGTTGCTGCAATATCTATTGAGAATGATCCCTCTATAGATTTAACAATTTTTATCTAAAATTACTCAATCTCCCATAATTATATCTATCGGGGTTTTGGGGTTTTGGGGTTTTGGGG